ACCTCATATCACCAAGAAAGCAGTGCCAGGAGCAGAGCGTGTCCTTTGGACCCGGGGTTCCTGCACAGAGAAGCTCCTAGTCCAGGGAAAGATTGATGACAAGGACCTTTCTACAGAGCCGACAGAGAGAGCTTTCCCCTGGAGCTGACGCCCTGAATTTGGACTTCTAGCCTACTAGACTGTGAGAAAATAAATTTCTCTTTGTTGAAGCCATCCACTTGTGGGATTTCTGTTAGAGCAGCACCAGATAACTAAGACAGTCGCTATAAGCTGGAATCAACTCAACAGCAACAGGTTTGGTTTTGATCTTGACTATGGGCAAGGAATTATGTTTGGTTCAATGGATTGAACAATCAAGAAGAAAGACATAGTCCTTGCCTTCCTGGAACTTCAAAGTTAGGCAAAAGGAGATGGATAGGACACAAAGAACTGCACAAATGGTTAAGTGAAATTGTGACATGGGCTACACAGCAAAACAGGATGCTAGGAGGGCACATAATGAAGGCCCAAGCTCACCAGAGCGAGGGACAGGGGCCAGAGGTTCAGGGGAGACTTCTTTTAGAGAACTTATATGAAGACTGAAGGATGAGTAGAAATGAACAGAAAGAATGAAAGAGGCACAAAGGGCCTCTGAAAACAGAAAAAAGGCCAGTGTGTAGGAAGCCTCAGTGGCACTGAGTAGGGGCATGGCACAAAGTAAGACTACATAGGGAAGCAGGTCCAAATCACATCACACATAATATGACCTGGAAGAATGTGAACACTTTATCCTATAGCCAGACTAGAAAGGTTTTTAAACTGGGAGTGTCAGGTTAAAATAGCAGACTAAAACCCCACATTAATTTTACTTCTTCCTGAGCTCTAACCAAAACTACAGTAAGGGAATTTTTTTTTTTTTTTTCAAAAACAATGATGCATTTACTCAACAGCAACAAAAGTACGGAAGCTAAAAAGCAGATTTAAAAAGTAACTAATTCAATATATTCAATAAAGCTAAATCCTAAGCCTTCAGCAGAAAAGCTGAGAACCAACCCAATTAATAGCACAAAATCTACAGAAGGCTCAGAAACTGGTACCACCAGGCATATCTTAAACTGGGGGTGAACTGGAGTGATAAAATAAGGAGAACCACAGGGGAACTATTTGAAAAGCAGTTAGACACCTTGTAATTCTCCCCTGGCCCACTCTGTAAGACCAGCTGCCCTATCCCAGTCTAGCAGAAGGCCAGAAATTTGTTCACTGCAGAGGATGAAACAGATGGTCCCTCTTAGCTTGTGTGGGTGGGAACACAATGTTGAATGCAGAGACCCCTGCCTCCTCTCCACGCTCAGCTCCCAGAACACTGGCAGTCAGACCTTTAGCCCCAGGTGGGAGACAGAGAAACTCTTCTCTGGGAAATTATGCTCCTGCTCTCTATTGTAGACCCAGCTGCCTGGATCAGATAGGAATATTCATTTTACCACAGAAATGTTGTTCTTCAACTTGTTCCCGAGAATAGGAGTAAGCCATAAAAGCACATATAAAAGAATATACAAACCAAATGATCCCTGTCTATATTTCTAAGGGATGTCTAGTACCTTATAGGGTACCTAAGGGAAGTCTAGAAGTTCATGCTACAACTTTGGCAGATGAGTCGACTGTGATAAAGCCTAATTTTCTTAAGATTATCTCATGATTTTGCCTACTGAATTCCTCCCAAGAGGCTCTTATAAACTCTTAAGAAAAGTGAAGCCAGTTTATTACCCAGACACTGTCCAGCTATCTTCCCCTGCTACAAGGAAGAAAACAATCCTCTCCTTGAACAAGAAGGATTATGCTTACTTCTCATTATGCCAAAAGTAATTTAACATTTAAGAACATATCTATAGGCAGCAAAACTACAAAGAGAACCAAAGGAATGATTAACACAAAAGTCAGGATACTAGCTACCCCGGCAGAGCAGAGGGAGGAACTTGGGGAAGGATATGTGGAGGGTTTCTAATGTACTGGCAACGTTCTGTTTCTTAAACTGGATGGTAGATATTTGTATTTTTATTTTATTGCTCTCTAAACTCTTCTTGGAGCCCTGGTGCACAGTGGTTAAGTGTTCGGCTGCTAACCAAAAGGCTGTAAGTTTGAATCCACCAGCCACTCCTTGGAAATCCTATGGGGCAGTTCTACTCTGTCCTACTGGGTCACTATGAGTCAGAATCAACTTGGTGGTAATGGGTTTGGGTTTTTTTGGTTTAAACTCTTTATATGCGTATAATATATTTCAGAATAAAATTAATTTTTTCAAAGGAGAATGACATGATCAGATTTGCACATTTGAAATATTATTAAGGCCGCTGTGAAGACAGTGGACAACAACCATAGAAGTCACAGGAGCGACCGGGGTGAACGACAGGCTCGAGGAGTGGCAGTGAAGCCCGATATGCTAGAAAAGATTAAATGATGTTTCTATGTATGGGTTTTTTTTTTTTTTTGTTTTTTTTTTTTGAGTGGGGTATGATGGAAGGGAGGAAGAGGGAAAGAAAGAAAGGGGAAAGAAAAGTATTGAGTCTATTAATTTTAAAAACAGTCCTAAGGAAATTATTCACTGTCAGTTATTATTATTATTATTAACAACACATTGTATTTATACTGCCCATGTAATACAGAAGCCCCAAAACACTGTAAAAGTATTCAATTAAACTTCAGAATATAACTACATGATGAACATAAGAAGAGGTCTTAATAAGTCCAATTTCATAAGCAGGAAAAATGCTAGACAAAAAGGTTAATGATTTGCCATGGCTGGTTAAAATTCTGAGTGAGGGCTGAAGTATAAATAAAATTCAGGAAGCCAGTAACCCAGCCAAAGCCTTAAGGCCTTGTTGCATGTGGTACATAAACACCATTTTAATTTCATTTTCCATGTGAAATTTTTATTAGACTGCAAAAATGTGCCTGCTCAGAGCTGAATAGCAAGTTTATGTCAGTCTAATACAGCCACGTTTAGAAATGCCAAAGGAAAGTACTGGCGGGACCCAGCCTTCGCACCTATGCCAGTCCCAAATCAAAAGAGCTTGCTTTATGACTTCCTCTAACCAGAATTGATCTTTCTTGCCAAGAACTTAACAATATTCTACTTTATATAAGTTTTACACATGGTTTTAAAAGTGTTAAAAATCTGGCGATCCATAAGTGGTATCTTGGGTAAAGGGTGAGACAGTACACAATACTGGGGAAACCAGCACAACTTGTACAAGGAAAGGTCATGGAAGCTCCACAGACACATCCAAACTCC